AAGCAGTAAAAAGGGTTATGGAAGAGCTGAAGAAGCAAAGCATCATCGCCTGAGAAACTCACCGGCGCTCGAATGGATTCTGTTTCCGAAATCAACGATAATCTCTCCGTTGAAGTCTCTGCTCTTCTTGCTCCTCTTCCAAGTCTCCAACTTCAGGCACTTTCTCTCTCTCTCTCTTGCAGACGAAATATAGATTCACGTGTGTGTGTTCAATTGCTAATCTCCTTTAGCTTTCTTCTTAAAGTTTATGTTTTTTATGGAATTTACTAGCGACTAAGCTCATTCCGGTTTTTTTGTCTTCTGGGTTTTTCAGGAGTATTTCAAACAGCTTATAACCAGTAGAAGTTGCAATGGAATTGAAGTCAAACAGAATCTCAGCAATGGAAAAGGTACAGTTCTTGTTTCTAATCAAGAATTTTGTAACTTCCTTTTTGTTTAGATTTAAGATTCTCATAATGTTGGTTTCTTCGTTTTAGTATGTATTAGAATCTGATTTTATTTCATTGGTAGGTGTCTATGCCAATTCTGAGTTTCAGGAAGATGAACTCATTTTGAAGGATCAGATTCTTGTTGGTATTCAACATTCATCCAACAAGGTTACTTATTCCTTTTTGCAAGTTTGTGTTTTTTATGGATTTTCTTTGATTGTTGTGAATTGATTTCTTCAATCTCTTGTACACCTAAAATTGCAGGTGGACTGCTTGGTTTGCAGTTTTTGTTTCCTGTTCATTGGATCGGTAGAAAAACAAATCGGGAGGAAACTTTATTTTAAGAACATGGGTCTTTCTGGCTGTTGTGACGGCGATTCATCTGAAAGCGAAGAAGATGGTTGCGTGAAGTACAACGGAAAGCAGGAACAATGTGGTGCTAGCAGTTCAAATCATAAGTCTCTTCCACAAGAAGTTGTTAGTTCTCTGATGAATGGTGAAATGGCCTTGCCGTATACTGATAAGTTTCCTTTGCCTTCTCCTCTTTCGTGTCCCGGAAGATGTCAGGAGGCTTTCTACTGTAGGTAATTGAGATTTAATGTCTTCGACTTTCGTATTCGTTATTTTTTTTTACATTTCTACAATTTGCCTGTTGTCACTAACCTGGTGTTGCAATATTAAAATAGTGAATCATGCGCACAGAAAGACTGGGAAACTTCTCATTCTTTACTTTGCACTGGTGAGAGGTCTGAATCAATATCTAGAGAGGCTCTTGGCGAGTTTATACAACATGCTAACGGTAAAGATCAAGTATATGCTGGCTAGAAATAGTTTCTTTAAACATGGCTTTTTTCGTAGCGCGATATACTTTATATATATCTTTTCATATTTTAATTTTCAGATACAAATGATATTTTTCTCCTGGCTGCCAAGGTATATTTTGTATCAGTTGTTATGCTCTACTTCTATCATATCATGCCATGGAACTTTTAACATGTATTATTAGTTTACGGTGATCTATGGAGCTTATACAATTTTCGGCTTTTTCTTTTCTCTACTATTATACCCTTTTGCATACTGTAAACAAAAGGAAAAGAAGCTAACCAGTTCTGTATAATGGATTATGGCTAGGCGATTGCCTTTACCATTTTAAAGTACAGGAAATTGAAAGCAGAATATTTGAATAAACAAGCGAAACAGAGTGTGCCAAAGCAGTTGCTGCTCTTGGAGGCATGGAAACCAGTATCTATTGGATACAAAAGAAGGTATATATTGATTTTGCCATTAGATAGTCTTGACTATTGAAGAACAACATGATTCACTTGCTTTTGTTTCTGAATGTTTCTGAATGTGATATCCAAATTACATATGGTAACTCATGTTCATACATAATAGGCTCCTCGGGTGATATGTCTACGCCGCATTAAAACTCTTAATGTACTTTTTACCTGTAGGTGGTGGGACTGCATCGCGTTGCCAGATGATGTTGATCCTTCTGATGAAGGAGCCTTCAGGATGCAGATAAAGGATCTTGCATGTACTGTATGTGTTTCAGTTGTATTTTTTTGTTTGAAMGTTGAATTTCGGTTGCTTATGTTTTGTGTAGAGATCATGAATTATATTGTTGTATGTCCAGTCCTTGGAGCTCCTGAAGGCAGCCATATTTGACAAAGAATGTGAAGCCCGTATCCATCTTGCAGTTTGATATACGGCCTATCTATTATCTGTACCATCTTTTCTCCTTGTCTTATATTTTACTCACAGAAAGTCATTTCCTTGACGCTGTTAAAGTTTTCTCGCTTGATATCTATGGAAATATCATCGGCATGTTTGAGCTGAATAACCTGTAAGACTCATCAATTCCCGTTTATATTCGTACGTTTACAATTAGTTATTATTATCCACAATATGTTACATCTTGGGCAGAGACTTGGTGGTAGCATCACCAGTAGAGGACTATTTCTTGTATATCGATGATCTTCCAGATGCAGAGAAGGTCTGAACAACACATAGTACGCTTTTGATCCATGTTTTTGTTCTCTCTCTGAGCACGATTTACTTATTCTTCTCGTGATCACAGGAAGAAGCTGAGGAAATCACAAGACCGTTTCTAGATGCTCTTGGTGATGAGTATTCAGACTGTTGCCAAGGTTAGAAATGAAGGAAACATTGTCATCACCAAAAACACAAGTGTCTTAATGTAATGTTAACTGTAACCAATATTTGACATTATCACATCATATATGTATTTGTGTTAGGAACGGCTTTCTTCCCTCTTCAGAGCTGTATGAACCATTCGTGTTGCCCTAACGCAAAAGCCTTCAAAAGAGAAGAGGTAACTTTCTTACATCTTTGTCCCTCTTTATGGTTAGAACACCCCAAGGATTGCAGATGCAAATGTTGCAGACTCTCGAGTCGTATTTAGAGGATCATCAACATTTTTTCATGTGGATCTTTTTTTTTTCTTGTGGTTATGCAGGACAGAGATGGACAAGCAGTTATTATTGCGTTAAGACAAATCAGCAAGAACGAAGAGGTATCTATCATCTTCTCTTCTCTCTACCATAGTTAGAGAACGCTTTTGAGTTACATAAAAAAGATAACTTATGTTTTGAGTTTCATATGAAAAACAGGTGACAATTTCATATATAGACGAGGAGCTTCCGTACATAGAGAGACAAGCATTACTTGCAGACTACGGTTTCAGCTGCAAATGCCCTAAATGTCTGCAAGATGCATCAGTTGTCTAAATTTTGGGATTTTGAAGCCGAAGTTTTGCTTTCATAAGAACTGAAATGGCCTCCACTCCAAACACATTCTCAATTTTGCCTATTCAAGACCTGATTAGTGATGATTACTTATTACATATATATGCGCATAGGGAATTTTTGCTTTCAATTCTTCTTTACGTAACACCAGAATATCATGCATTACTAAAGTCGGAAACTTTATCGATACTTTCATACTCATCAACAAAGATCCAATATTTTTAAAAATGGTGACCAAAAACATGTACTGATTATAACCATTGTTAATATTGCACCTAGAAACCCCCAAAAAAAGACCTACTTAAGAAACAGGCTTTTTGTGTTGAAGATTCAGATTATGATCAGACCGAATCAACGTCATTGGCTTTCCTCTGTTCCGTCACATCGACATTTACATCCTCCTCGTCACCCTGGACAAACAACACATCATTTTAGCACTCTGAGAGATTTGTGAAGATTCTCGTCTCCAAACAACACATTGTTTCAAGAATCTAATCACGAAAAGAAAACAGTTACCTGAAAATGGGCATCTCTGATAGGTGGGGGCGGAGGAAGAGATATGAGAGGAGAGCCTTTGGCTGCTTCAGAATTCTCTTCATCAAATTCTGCAGCTTCATCAAATGCCCGACATAACATGCTTGTAGATAACATTACCTGCAGCACCGTAACCATGTAACAAAGTCTATTACCTCCACTTAACAAAAGTAACTCAAGCACCAATTCTGCAGAACAAGAAGAAAAATAGATGTGGTACCTTATCAGTAGATGAGGTGCCAATAGAAAACCTTCTTCTTTTCCAGTTGTCTTCCTTTGATGAGGACTTGTTAATTGTGTCTTCATCGTTCCACCCTCCACTTTCTTCTTCAGAATATGATTTCGAAGGAACCATATTCCAACGAGAAGGTATGTTCTTCGCCTTCTCCACCTTCTCCCCCTTCGCTTCTTCACCTCTTACTATCAAGCCTAAAACAGATGGAGAAAGTTCATAGCATGTATACGTAGTATTGAATTTCCAAGAGTTAGTTTAAAAACAGAGATATGAAGGTACTGATTAGTTTACCATCTTCCACAGGTTCTTTGGTACTATATTGATCCACATAATGCCTTTTTCTAGGCAGTGAAGAAGTATTCTGCAACTCATTTTGTGGATCACAAGCAGTCCTCAAATTCCGACGATTATTCTCTTCATCGCTCACAGTATCAATGTCTGCATCCCTGTCAGTGCCTTCATTTCCAGCAAGATACGTACTAAGTTGGTTTCCCAACTTTTGAAGACGGGCTTGTGACCTACAGATTTGTCATAGCATTGTGTTATTGAATGAAATCTTTGGATACTTAAAGGAGAAGCAATCAGAAAGAAAAAAACAGTGCCCTGCCTCTTTAGATCATCTTGTGCCCGCAAGTAACGGTTATATTCTTTCACAAATTTCTTCGAGCTTGATGTAATCCTGACATACAATAGGATTGAACAACACTCATCACCAGAAAATCAAGTCCAGAAATTTCCAAATTACATTACTGGGAATATATTGCATCCTACTTAAATTCAAGCAAACATCAACGAGGAAGTAGTCATTACCTCCTACATTCCTCTTTCTCTCTATCCAACTGGGTCTCAAGCTCCTCGACCCTAGACATAAGAATGTCTGCTTCATGTGCCTTCCTTTCAATGGAAGCCTTTGGAACAAAAGAATGTGTCAAATATATTTCAAGGTAACTTGTGCGTAAAATGCAATCAAAATTAACTGTGGAATGGAGAAGTGTACCTCCAATCGTAGTTTGTCATCAGTAAGCATCTTAACATCAAGCTCTACATCTTTTAACTGCATATAGTCCCAGAGGAAAGATTAGATTAGTGACTGATATCAATAAAAATAGATAAACTGGACATGCGTCCTTTTTTATCCACTTAACATTAAATTAAGATAAAAAGAAAACCAAGTTCTCAACAAACACCCAATCAAGAAATGAAAGTTTCAAACCTGTTCTTCCAGAACATTATTGAGACCCCGAAACTTGTTTATTCCATCTTCTGCCCTGTCTTCAATCCGACTCCCAACTTTCAAACCACCAGCATAATCACTTAGTTCATCAAATCTGCGGTTCTCCCTGTAGTCTTTATCTCTGTGATAATTAGAGATATAAAGCCGCACTTTAAAGCATGGAGAAACCATCAAATTACCACTGAGATTTCACATAGCATGAGCCGAAGTAGAACCAAGGGGAGAAGAAGCCATACCTTCGCTTTTCAAATGGCCTAGGATTTGCATATCCTGCAAATTTGAATTCTATCAATAATAATCAGAAGAAGGAAATAAAGAACAAGAAGTTGACATGGAATTTTGTTTGTGCCTAACAGGCAATCCACAGAACTCCAAAAACCCAAAGCTACAGATCTTACCACTAAATCTTTGTACCCGTCTTCCACTTCTGTCCATAGAAGGTCTCCGCTCTGGAGAAAACTGTCTACCAAGTTTATCTCTTAAGTCACTATCCAGATTGTGACGTCTGCCTGCAGTAAACGAAACAAACTTTGCAGTAAAGCATACTTGTGATACAGATGTGAACTTCCTCTAATACAATAAGAATCATACCAGTCAACAACACTTGTATAAGATCCCAGAAGACTACTAGTAACATAAAGAAACAAGTTTTGGTGCTTACTTGCCAGTTCAAAGAGACCACAAAATCATGTCCTCTTCTTACTAGCATTTGGTGAAAAACCAATAAATAAACAAGCAGAAGTCACTGTATCTCATTTGATAAATAATAGGTTGACAATGCTTCAGCATCATGTTGGACGAGAGAAAACAACAACCAATCTTGAAGATCCATATAATTACACAATCAAAATCCACCAAAATGATGTTCAATTCCTTCAGACAATAAAACCCCTGATTTCTTGATCCAAAAAAACTGCTGGTAAGACCACTGAAGATATAATAATCATCGAAATACCATGCGCTCCATTAAATGGCAAATTTCTTAACAAAAGGCATTGATTAGTCCTAACAACAGCCAACAGGCAATGATTGGCCACCAAATATTGGAGTCTGAGAACCATGGTCGTAGAAGAAGAATTAATACCCCGCAAAACCCATGATTGTTTTTCTTCAAAAAGAAAGTGCTTTCAAGAGCAATAAGAAAACCAATATAAATTTCAGCACGAAAGACCAGCGGATTCCACTCCGGGGTAAAAATAATACTAAGCCTGTCAGATGCTATCTTTCTGCAAACGGAACAACCATATTCCCGAATGGTTCCGCAGGACAAAAATAGTCAGTAAAACAAGATATCCAAGTCCACCAAGTCGAAAGAAACGTATAATACTGCCACTACGTGTAGGGTGAAACGCTTTTACACAATCTCTTAAAATATACTTGTCGAAGTTTTAAAAGTGCATTGAACCACAAAGCTCCAGGAGAAACACAGCTCACAGAATATTCAAAGTATGATGCAAAACTCTTAGAAACTCTGAGCAAAGAAACCTAATCAACTGAGGACTTCTCCAGAATCAAAAGAGTACTCATAAGTCATAACTTCACGGATTCTTCCACAGTTTACAAACTTAAACCTGAAAATGAAATCAAAATAGCCTATGAATATGCATCAAACGAAATCATTACCAGTGAATGAAGATTCCCCAGGCCGACGAAGCTCAGCATTTCCATGAGCAAACGAGCAATTCGGCCTCGAACAATTACCACTCTTCTGATACATAATACAAAGCTTCGTCTTATACATACTCGACCCAGACATGATTAAACGAAACCTCTTTCTTCCAAAATCCTCTTCGAATCAAAACTCAAAAGTCAAGCTAAACCTATACAAGGAAAAATACAGAAACAAAGCTTCAGGTGGAAATCATTAGACTCTCACTGGAAATTAGATCCCTAGAAACTTCCGATAGCAAAAATTTATCCATAGAAGAGAGCATGAAACAATTTCGAGCTATGAAGACTTTGTATCGAAAACGAAGAAGAGACTGAGAAAATCGAAAACCTACCAAAGGCGATTCTACGCTGTTTATCTTCTCTCTAGAGTTTGATCTCTGAAGCACTTTCTTCCTCTTATCGAGAAAATAAAACGGTAGCTGAAGAAACAAGTCGGACGAACGGTGATGTCACCGGGAAATGAACATTAGGGATCGACCCT